TTGTTGGGGGGTGTTCAGCAGCTTCGCTGGCTTCTATCCACTAGATGCCAGTAGAACATCGACCCCCAACAAGCTGTGAAAACCAAATTGTCTCTCCACGTTGCTGAAGGTCCCCTGAAGGACAGAATTTTCCAAGGTTGAGAACCCCTGGCCTAATGGTTCAGAAACGTTGCTACACAGATGCCCTGGGCTCAAGACCCCAGTCTCCTGCCGACCAGCCTGAGCTGGCAAACTCCCACAAAACCCTCAGAGACTCCGTCCCCTTAAGTGTAAAAGTTTGGAAACTCCCTACCTACCAGCTTACAGAGCCCTGGTCAGAATCATCTGGATTGTTGGGATAATGCTTTGAACCGTAAGTGCAGTGATTCTTTCGTTCCTTAAGACATTGGTGGGATGGACACAGGGGTCGCTGGTGGCTGCTTAGCCACGTGGAGGGGCTCGGTGATGAATAAGGACTCTGGATTTCCCCAACTGTTGTGCACACAAGTTCCCTGCAAATATGCCTTGTGTATCTGTCAGGATTTATTCCCAAGGCAGGAGGGGTCTCAGCCCTCCTTCTGGGAAGGCGGGAAGTCAGCTGGCAAAAGGACCCAGAGGCAGAGGATGGAGCCTCATTAAGCATCTGGATAGGGGGCGCCTGGGTGGCTTAGTTGGTTAAGCGACTGCCTTCGGCTCAGGTCATGATTCTGGAGTCCCCGGATCGAGTCCCACATCGGGCTCCCTGCTCAGTGGGGAATCTGCTTCTCCCTCTGACCTTCCCCTCTCTCGTGCGCTCTCTCTCTCTATCTCATTCTCTCTCTCAAATAAATAAATAAAATCTTTTTTTAAAAAAAAAGCATCTGGATAGATTCTGGCAGGTGCAAGCCTGCACCGCGGCCAAAAGATGGGCACGGGGTACATCCTAGGTACTGTGCAGCCTGTCCTGCCTCTCCGAGGGATTCCTCTGCTTTTATTATCTCTCTCTCTCTCTCTTTTTTTAAAGATTTTATTTATTTATTTGACAGAGAGAGAGACAGCGAGATAGGGAACATAAGCAGGGGGAGTGGGAGGGGGAGAAGCAGGCTTCCCGCTGAGCAGGGAGCCCAATGTGGGGCTCGATCCCAGGACCCTGTTATCATGACCCGACCTGAAGGCAGCCGCTTAACAACTGAGCCACCCAGGCGCCCCTTATTATCCTTCTTGATAAAAAAAAATTATGACTTTCCCAGTGACTCAGAACAACAACACAGACTTACATTCTAAAATTGATGTCAATTTTCTGTACTTTCGACCATTCCATTCCATTAACTCCTGACAGCTACCCTTTTCTCACTCTGGGGGAATCCTTCCTCTCCACAGTCCCTATGTTTTGCACTGTTTTGTCCCCTGTCACACCCCCCAAAAGAGGGGAAAGAAAATGGCCAAGATCTCACCTCAGAAGTGATTTTCTGGGAACATCTCGCTGCTGCTTAATGCGGATGACCTGAGTTTCTTGGAGAGGCTCCTTTTTTCCGCTTGGAGATGATGAACTCCTGTCCCTCTGGGCTCTCAGCTCTCAGCTCAGCCAGCCTGTCTTGTGTCCTTGTCACTGATGACAGAGGCCAGGGGCCCATGGGGCAGGCCACTACAGGGCACTCAGGCTCTGACTGCTGCCTTTGGCCCCCTGAGCACAGCCTCTTCGTCGTCCCATCAGGGCAGCCCAGCCCACCTAGGACTCGCTCTGGGGATGCTCAACGGGCAGGTGCCAGGACATGGTGCAGGGGGCCGGGTGACAGCTGGAAGGTAGCGCGATGCCCATCCCAGGGCTGGTGCTGGTAATCCAGGGCCATCCCTGCACTCCCCGGTGACGGCACAGCAGGCTGGGAGATGATGTTCTGGACCAGGTAGCCGGAGACTTGCCAGGTCTCCCTTCCTTTCCCTTGTGGCCCCATTTGCCCTCCCCAATATTACAGGTCCTGATTGGAAGCTCTCTAACGCCTCTTTACCTCTGTGAGTTTCTCAGACTGCTAAACACGTGTGCACTGCTCCAACCCCCTTCCAGGACCTACACTTGAACTCTGCGACCCGGGACCCAAACAGCCCCAGCCTCAGAGTCCCCGTTCCTGGGACGGTCCGTTCCAGAGGGCTCACTGTGGAGAGTGTGCGCACAGAGAGACACAGGGTAGCCATCCAGCCTGGAGGGCCAGCAGAGGTGGATCTGAATCCCAGCTCTCTAGATGTGGGTTCTCAGGCCCATTGGCCCGGCCTCAGTTTTCTCAACAGAAAAATGGGACAATAATTAACGTGCACTTCTCCGCACCTCACTTCTGCCTCCGAGGGGTGAGTGGAGAAGTAAATGGGATACGAACAGAGCACAGCACAAGGAAGATGCACGGTAGATGACAACAGTAAGGATAATAATTATTAATGATATCACTGCTAATGATGAAAGAAGGTCATGCTCCTGAAGAAGGACAGGATCACTTGTCTGGAGGGAATCAGGCGGCAGGACAGACGACGGCCGCGTCTCTCCAGTCTCCAGGGAGGGGTTCCAACATATGCTAGTGGTCTGGCCGGCAGCCAGGCCTTCCATTTAGAACAGGCTGGAAAATGGCTTATTGCCTCTCCAGCCAGGTGGTACTAGTCTGCCCTCCCTAACTTTCTCTCTCTGATCCCAGGGATCTCCTGAAAGGAGGTAAACTGTCTCTCTCTGGAGGGGAATCTCATCTGCCTCTTGACCTGGATCTCAGGGAAAAGGGAAGGACAGCTGAGTGATCACCTCGCCCGGGCCCACACAGGAGGTGGAACCCCCTCGGGACACACCTGCCGAACGCGTCCTCCGGCCTCTCCTCCCAAGCTCCGGTAACAGCATCTCCAGCCCTCCTAAAGCACGTGTCCCACATGCAGACAAACACGGGTATGCGGCACCTATGGCTTGCAGAGGGAAGATGGGGAGGCACGTGGAGGGCCAAGGAGGGAGAACATTCCAGCAAACACAGGACCCCTTCTCTGAAGAGCAGCTACTGAAGAGGCAAGCCCCTTCTTCCTCAGCGCTGGCTCATTAAGTCAAGGTGGGCTCTGGGGCCAACCTCACCCAGGAGAAGCCAGATGGGAGTCCCAGGCTGGGGTGTGAGAGAGGAGCATCCGTCCTGCCTGCTCAGGAGAGTCCTGGGGCCCAACAGGAGGCCTGAGCCTGGGCTGGAGCCTCACCTACCACACGGATCATCCCGACTCTCCCCGGCAATCTGGCTGCATGAGCCTCACTCCTTGGGTGGGCCCCTTTGTTGGGCTCCGGGTCTTGGCCAGGGTCCTTCGGCGTGTATCCCAAGAAAGCTGCTCTCTGGTAACATCTCTGGCCACACAAACACACTTGTGTTCAGCTTTGAAGAGAGGGGCAGGTGACAGGGACCACCATCCCCGAAGCTTGGGCAGAGAGAGGGCAATGGGCAGGGGGACGAGCCTGCCCTATTCTGAGGACAGTCAGACTTCTGCCTGTGGAGGAAGCCAGAGCTGGCCGGGGCCACACCACGACATGGGACCTCGAGGAATGGCCTCTGTAGGCCCAGAGCCTGGCTTAAACGTGCCCTGGAGGTGCCACCCCAGCCAGTGAATGCAGCATGGTGTGGCAGAAAGAGGCAGGCCTTAGAGCCGGAGGGTCCAGACTCCAATCCCAGCTTGTCACTTTCATGCTGTGTGGCCTCGGGCAAGTTACTCTGCTCCCCTGAGCTTCTGGTTCCATATGTATTGGAGTAAGGATGCTGTAAGGTGATCGTACAGATTGAACACGCACATGTGGGCCCAGCACGGTGCCTGGACACAACGCTCAGATGGTGCCTCCTGCCCGTTACCTAACATCCAAGACAGAACCCCGCTGAGTAAGGCAGAAGGGACAGCATAGCACACCCTCTGGCTGGAAATCTGTCCTTTACCCTTCATTGGACATTCACGTGCACATCTATCCTCGTTGTTACCTACGTGATGGTGGGAAAAACCAGATCAAAACACTGTAGGAGACTGGGATGGAGTGACCCTGAGCAAGTCACTATAATCGCCGAACGTAAAGTCTGGACAAGACGGCCCAGGTCTCCAGGCCCCGTGTCTGTGGCCCTGACCAAAGAGGGAGAACTCCGTGAAAGTTGAGTTTAACTGGCATTTACGCCAGGGGAGGAGAGAGCCTTCGTGGGGGAGACCCCTGCGCTCAGAATTACCCAGAGAATCCCCAGCCCGCTGGGGCTGCCCTGGATACTCGGAGCTGGGACCACACGTTCCTCCCCTCCCCGGTCACGACACACGGAACCCTCGAGCTCCCACTGCCATCGCCACAGGCCATCTGGAGAACAGGGAGCTGCCACCTACTTCTCTACAGGGCTCCTTTGGGGATGCGGGGTCAGAAGGTAAGGACTCAGAATATCTGGGCTGCAGTGACCCCCACAGGGACACCAAGCATCGCCTAGGCTCCTCCCCACCCCGGCTCTCGACCTCCTCCTTGGGTTCTCATGAAGACACCTGTCTCAGAAAGCCCTTGCTCATGGGGCACACATGGGGGTTGAGACAGGGAAGAGTTTGCTCGGGAAGCAGCGGGGATGATGGGTGTGCAATGGCTGACCACCCAGCCCAGCCCCCCCGCCCCCCCGCCCTCCCCGCCCAGTCTGGTCCTGCTGAGAGCACGGCCCTGTCAGTGATTCCAGAAGGAGCCCGGGCCGAAGGTCCCCCATCCCTTCTCCCTCTCGGCAAAGGTCACACCAGCTTTGCACTCACGAGCTCCCCTTGAGCCGAAGCCGCCGGGCATGCATGCATGGCTGCAGCGACACATATGGCTCAGAGGAGCTGGTGGCCGCCTGAGGACACAGTCTGGAGGTCGGGCTGGAGATCCTGTTAGCACAGTAGCCCGGCGCCAACCTCGCAGATGGGTGGCTGCCTCTGGACAATTAAGATGTCCCTGTGCCTGCCATTCAGAAACAGCCATGTCTCCTGAGACCACAGGGACATAATCAGCCTTTTTGCAGTTGTCCCCAAACAGCACCAGGGCTTCCCACCCAGTCTTTTCAGTTTCCCCACCACAGAGGGGAAGTTTAGACCATTTATTTTCTTTCGCACAGCACAGGGAGAAAGCACGGAGAAAGCCACTCCTGGCCTGCAAGCGAGGGAGCCTGCGTGTGAGCCTCTCCCACTCTGCTCGGCACAGGGCAGCTATCTGGGGAAGGGGGGTGTACCGTGCAGGCGCCTTTCCTAAGGACAAAGAAGAGCGAGCCCTTCTCCCCCAGCGTGTCCCATCCTGTGCCGGTCTGCGCGGGAGGCTCCCTTACTTGCCAGAACCCCCTTCCCCACAGCCACTGACTCGGAGGAAGGTTAAGGAGGCTGACTCGGACAGAACACATTCATGCCTGCAAGAGAACCCAGGAGCCAGACCCAGTGTAAAATGCAGGTGTCTGAGCACCTGGCCCCCCTGGCACACAGCTTCCAGACCCTTTCTCTGGGCATTCTCCCCGAGGGCAGCTGAGAAGCAGGGATTTGCTTGAGAGAGTGCTTCACTGGGGCTGAGAGAGCCCCCGGCTGAGTCAGGAAACGTCCCTCCTGCTCTGACCGCTGCAGACACCTGCCCTGTGTTCAATGGCAAACCGCGCCTCTCCCTCCCGGCTGTCGGAGGATCAGGTGGGCATGAGCCTGCCATCTCTAAAATCCCGAGATTTCTCAGAGAGGAGAGAGCATCTTCTGGCGGCTGGTCTGAAGACTTGACCACATGGCAGATCTACAGTTTAAAGGCGCTTCTTCTCTTTTGAAAAAGAAGAGCAAGTCCGTCTGGCAGAGAACCCCCTACCCATGGAAATCCCACCCCATCACCAGTCATCCCCCTGTCCTTGGACTGCCGATGCATCTGGGTCTCAAAAGGGGCCAAGTGTCTGATGACAAAGATGCCCTGTCCAAGTCAAACGAGGAACGTTCTATGGCCCAGGTCACGACCACCCTATTCCAAAGGGCTGAGTGGGAGACCAAGGCTGGGCTGGGAACGTTCCAGTTCTGAGGGCTGCTCTCACCTGGCACCCCATACACCAGGTGCGGTAAGTTGGCATAAAAACAAGACACATACGTGATTATTTACGGCCAGCAAGCGATCGTCACCCCATGTCCATATTTCACAGCTAACCGGCTGTTTCCACTGGTCTTATGTTCTTAAAATACAGTTTCAAAAAATTCCCCAATTTGCTCCTTGCGAAGGCTTTGCCCCATCATGCCTCCAGGGACTGGAAGCTCACACTCCCGTTTTCTGGATCAGCTTGACCACAGCACAGAACGTTGGAAATCAGGGCTGCTTGGGGGAATTCCTGATGCACGGTCGCTGCCCCTGGAGAGGACGTGCACGTGGTCAGAACTTCTGGTTCCAGAAGGTGGGCACAGCCAAAGGCCAACAGCGCCGATGCCCCAAACAAAGCTTCGCCCTGCTGTGAGCCCAGCACGGGGTGAGCCGGCCTGGAGCTCGCGGGCGCCCCGAACCTCAGAAGGTGAAGGCGTACACCACCCCAACCACCACAATGTTCCCCAGTGTCGCTATGATGGCAATCCAGAGCAAGACCGTGTCGTTGGAGGACCGTGGAGGCTCCTCCGGCTGGCCCTGGCCGTTGGAGGCCGCATGGACGTTGGTGGAGGAGTTAAAGAGGGAATACTCTGTGCTGAAGTCCTCATTGGGCGAGTCCATGAAGGCGCCTCCCATCATGGGCAGCTGTGGAGAGGGAGAGAGAGAATTAACCTGGGCTCACGGGCCTCGGGAGAAACCGCCTTTCAGAGGGACGTCTGCCGGGTCAAGCAACCCTGTGCTCAGACACAGCATCTCACAGGGCTCTCCTTCTGTTTGTTATCATGGACAGGGCCTATTTTAAGCTACAAAAATTAGTAGAGACGGCAACACTTGGAGGCAGACACCCTCATGCCCATTTCGCAGACGGAAGCGTTAAGGCACATAGCTTATCCACAGCTGCGGGCAGTCGCTGGGACTTACAGACCCCCTCTCACGGCCGGGCCCTCCACCCCAGCATGGGCTGTAAAATGCCTTCCTTCCTCTTCTCTTTGTAAAGTCACGATGCTCAGCACAGAACATTAAGGAAATAGAAAAGAGGAAAAAGAAAAAGTGAGAATCAGCCTCGCTGCTTTAGGATAACCACTATTAACACTGAGATATTTTCCTTTTGCACCTTTTTCCAATGTGAGTGTGTGTACGTGTGTGTGAGAGACAGAGAGAACACATGTTTAAACATGTGGTTTTATATAAAATTTTGCATAAAAATTCCATCAAAACACCATTTTACCCATTGTATATTATTCTACCACAAATAAAACCGCAATTTAACCATCCCGCTACAATTGGAGATTCAGAAATTTTGGTTTTTTCCTTTTATAAATAATGCAGTCAGAATGGCTAAAATTAACAAGTCCAGAAATGACAGATGTTGGTGAGGATGTGGAGAAAGGGGAACCCTCCTGCACTGTTGGTGGGAATGCAAGCTGGTGCAGCCACTCTGGAAAACAGTGTGGAGGTTCCTCTAAAAGTTGAAAATAGAGCTACCCTATGACCCAACAATTGCACTACTGGGTATTTAGCCCAAAGATACAAATGTAGTGATCCGAAGGGGTACGTACACCCCAATGTTTATAGCAGCAACGTCCACAATAGCCAAACTGGAAAGAGCCAAGATGTCCACTGACAGATGAATGGATAAAGAAGAAGTGGTACATATATACAATGGAATATTATGCAGCCATCAAAAAATGAAATCTTGCCATTTGCAACGATGTGGATGGAACTAGAGGGTATTATGCTAAGTGAAATAAGTCAATCAGAGAAAGACAATTATTATATGATCTCACTGATATGAGGAATTTAAGAAACAAGGCAGAGGATCATAGGGGAAGGGAGGAAAAAACCAAAACGACGAAATCAGAGACGGAGGCAAACCATAAGAGACTCAATCTCAGGAAACAAACTGGGAGTTGCTGGAGGGGAG